AGAAGAGGGTGGGACCGCAGTGCTGCCATGGCATATATCTGGAAAAAGAAAATATCGGTAAGTATGGCATAAATTTTCTGTTTTCCCCGGATATATCCATGGCAGCACTACGTATGGGTTATACCCAAGCTGAAAAGAGTAAGGGAGGGAGAATAATAACCACAACGCATAAATCCATGCAAATACGGTTTATTGATCCACAAACTATAAGGCAGCAGAGAGGACACTTCTACCAAATTCTGTGGTAGATGAATGCACTACATCCAACTGATAGTGATTGATAAACGTGTTGAAGGAGGACCATGTTGCTGCCGAACAAATGCGATCTGCAGAAATGTTGGCTGCAGCTGCCCAAGAAGCAGCCAAGGATCTGGTAGAATGAGCTCTAAGGCCTTGAGGGACAGGGACTCCGGAGGATGAGTAGGCCTGACTAATAGCTGAGATGATCCATCACCCTTCTTGTAACCTGAAGGAATAATGAACAGTCTAGATGTCCTCCTTATGACTGAAGTCTGGTCCAGGTATGTAGATAAACCGCGCACCAGATCCAAACGATGACATATTTTTCTTCTTCCGATGAGGGATGAGGGAAAAAGGCTGGCAAAATGATGTCCTGATTCATATGGAAAGCAGAAACCACCTTGGGTCTGAAGGCTGGAATAGTACAAAGGATCACTCGGTCTTCCTGAAGAATCAAAAAGGGAGACTCACAGGAGAGAGCGCTTAGCTCGGAGATTCTTCTGCTTGAGGTCAAGGCAACCAACAGAACGGTTTTCAACGTAAGAGTAAGTATAGAAACACTCAGACAAGGCCTGTAAATCCCAAGGAGGGGAGCAAGACCGTACTGGAGGGCGAAGCTTGAGAATGGCTTGAAAAAATCTAGCAATATCTGGATCAAATGCCAATTTCCGATCTAACAGAGCAGAAATAGCTGAAGTATGCACTTTTAGGGAGCTGCGACTCAAACCCTTGTCAAATCCGTCCTGTAAAAATTGAAGGATGTCACAGATACTGGGAGACAAAGGAGAAATATTATGTGCCAAACACCAGCTACAGAAGATGACCCAAATACGATAGTAAGCTGAAGAAGTGGATTTCTTCCTGGCATTCAGAAGAATCGAAATTACTGAAGAAGAGAAGCCTTTGCTGGAGAGACATTGCTTCTCAATTTCCAAGCCCTTAAATTGAGAGACTGAGGAGATGGGTGAGAGATCGGACCTTGTTGTAGGAGACTGAGTTGATCTGGGAATTTCAGAGGCATGTCCTGAGAGAGTTTCTGCAGCAGGGGAAACCAAGGCCGTCTGGGCCAGAAGGGAATCACTGCGAGAATCGTTGCTTGCTCCTGCAGGATCCTTCTCAGCAGGGGGAAAATCTGAGGAGTTGGGGGAAAAACATACCCCAGATTGAACTTCCACTCGCAACAGAGAGCATCCTGGTCTTCCGCCAAAGGGTCGAAGTAACGCGAGAAGAACCTTCCCACTTTGCGATTCTTCGCTGTGGTCATCAGATCTACCTGAGTTAGACCCCACTTCTGGACTATGCTTTGGAATGCCAGAGGGGCTAACTCCCATTCTGTGGGATCCAGGGTTATACGGCTTAAGAAATCCGCCACTTGATTGTTCTTTCCTGGAAGGTAAACTGCCTTTATCCCCTTCAAATTCTTCTCTGACCATGACATAAGTGGGGTCAACACTTTCATTAAGCGTTTGCTCTTTGTACCCCCCTGATGATTGATGTAAGCAACTGCAGAGGTATTGTCTATCCTTACTCTCACCCAACTTTGTTTCAGCCAAGGAAAGTGCAGAAGAGCCTGGAAGACTGCTTGCAATTCTAAAACATTCGAGGATAGAGGATACTGTTTGTTTTCCCACTGCCCCTGAACATGAAGAAGGCCCAAATGAGCTCCCAACCTGATTGGCAAGCATCCGTCGTGAGAGTAACCCAAGGGATATTGCTCAGAGGATACCCTTGATATAGATTCTCGTTCATCAGCCACCATGCCAGTTCCTTCTTGATCTCTGATGATAAAGAGATTGCTTGATTCAGATCCTTGTTCATAAACTGGGATAGAAACCCTTCTTGTGGAATCCTCATATACCACTGGGCCCATTTCGTAAGGCCTATTGTAGAGGCCAAACTTCCCAGAAGGCTCATAAATTCGAGAATTCCAGGTAGTAGCCGGATTTTAGGGTCTTTAAAACCCGCTTGTCCTGTATTGCTGGAGCCCAGACCTCATTGAAGTGAAGAAGTCTTGCTCCCACTCCCAAGGGCTGGACTGGCGTCCCATCAGAATTGCTTTGAAGGTTTACCATTGCCACCAAGTTCTCGGGTGGTTTTGGAAGAGGAGAGACCACTTCTCCAGGATTGGAATCTGGAAAACTCCCTACCAGGTCTGTATTGTCTAAAGTCCTTGTCGCGAAAGGAACGTCTGTCCTGTGGAAAGGATCTTTTAGGACGTCTATCTTGAGGAAGAAAGGCCTTACGTCCTTTTTGATACATTCGTCCAAGTATTTGCCAAAGAGCATCTCTCCTTGAAAGGGGAGGGAACACAGGCTATTTTTTGAAGAATTATCTGCCACCCAATTACGTAGCCAAAGAGCCCGTCTTGATGCTACAGTAAGGACCATGCTTCTGGAGATGGTTTTAACCAAATCTATGGAAGCTTCTGGTGAAAAATCAATAGCCAGCTTCATTTTCCTTAAGGATTCCAGCAGCCTGGATCTACTGACTCCACTTGATATGTCCTCTTCAAGGTCATCCATCCACTGCTTCAAGGCCCTAGAGACAGATGTCAGGGCTACAGCAGGACGAAGCCCAGAGCCAGAGGCTATATAGGCTTTGGACAAATTTGAGTCCATACGTTTATCCATTGGATCTCTTAAAGTACCGGCATCATCCAATGGAAGGGTGGTCTTTTTAGCTAATCGGACAATAGCTGCATCTACTTTGGGGGCAAGGTCCCAATGGTTACTGTCCGTAGCCTTAAAAGGGTATAGTTTAGAAAAACGTCCCTGAATAGAGATTCTTTTTTCAGCCTTCTTCCATTCTTGCTTAATGAGGTCCTTAATGGTCTCATGTAATGGTGAAGGTAGGATTACGCCTTCTCAGGTCAGCAAAATGCTTACTAGAAGCTAGTTCCTCCTCTCTCTTATCATTAACCTCCAAGGTATCACGAACTGCCTTGATTAAAGCTTCTATTTTCACACTGTCTATAAAGACAGGAGAGGGCCCATATTCCTCATCTTGAGATGACAACTCGTCTTGCTCAAATACCGGGTGTACATATTCATCAGAGCTTAAGTCATCATATTCCTCTGGGCTAAAAGATCTACGTCTTTTCTTAGCCCTCTCAGACTGTCGAAGACCCTCTGAAACTGCTTGATTGATGTAAGAGAGAACATCTGGGTCCGGTTCAGCATGGCCTGCCGCTGCTTTAAGACAAGCTAAGCAGAGCCTTTTCCCAGGAAGCATCTTGTCATCACAAGCTTCACATAAGGGGGTCTTATCCTTCTTTTTCTTGTATGAGGACCTATGGGTAGAACTGAAAATCCCCCAGTCAGAAGTCTGAAATGCACTCTTTTTTTTTTTGTCTTTAAAAATTTAGTAGTGACTTACTCAGAACCTCTAGATTGCGACCTATTTCTCGAAGCCTGACCGGGGGAATCCATAGTATGGGCAGCTAAAAAATAAATAAATTAGAATTTCCAGCAACCAATTATTGCTTTGAAAAGGAGTGGGGAATAGAGAAATTACAATAAAAGGACAAGAAATGTCACTTACCTGCAGCCAGAAGACAGAAGTTTAATCCAGTTATGCAGAATTACATCAAACAGCATACAGACAGAATAGAGGTGCTTACCCTTTAAATATAAGATGCCAAACCAGGAAGTACATCCCCCTGC